GTGTGTGTTAAAAACTCTTGTGCTAAGATGTCTGAATGAAAGCATTAGCATCCCATAATAGGCCTCGAATGTGTGTGTGTTTATGACTGTGTGTTTGCAGTTTAAGCACACTTCTATAATATGGGCGTATGCACACGGGCTCATTGATTCCTTTAGGTGAAGTTGCACACCTCTCTAGAATAGCACCTGGTGAGCTATTAGCTGTGCTGTTGACTAGGACACCAGAACATTCTCTGGCTGTGGGATGGACCTTTAGCTGTAGTGAGGCAGAATGCAGACTGTGGAAGCTCTGACTTCTCACTCAGGTCTGCCAGATTTGTGCGCCTGAGCAAGTTACTTGCCTCCCCAAGATTCTGGGTCTACTTCTGGAAGATGCTGAAGAGAACGACCTGTTGTCGAGGGCTTTCTCCGCGTCAGCACTGTGCTGCCCTCTTTATATAGCAGATGCCCTCCTGTGATGCACGTCACGCTGCAGCCACTTTACAGACTAGCAGACCGAGCCTCACGGAGGCACTGAACCCTCCGCCTAGCCCAGAAGGAAGGGAGGATTCACACTCGCTCTGCCAGACTCTGAGGGCCATGTTGTTCCCTCGGCGCTCTCCTGTGTAGACTCCCTAACCCTCAGGACTCTTGGAAGATGCAGAAGGACTTCTTCTGAGCTGCCCCCAGGGGGGAATCTGGCCAGTGAGTGGAACTTAGGGGGAGGAAAAGCTGCATCCTAAAATGACAGAAGTTTCTGATCATGAGTGGTTTCCAAGACTACAAGTGTCCATCTTACGAGGGGCAAGCGTGGCCGTCTATGGAGGATGCTGGTTTGGGTGGGCTGCTAAACTTAATGGCTCCTGGAGTCCCCTCTAGGTCCAGGTACTGATGCTCCTGCAGAGCTGAGGACCAGTACCGAGAATGTGGACTGTGTAAACTCAGGCTTACATCCTACTTGACGATTCCATTAGCTCTGCGACCTTGGGTAACCTACTGAATGTGTCTGAGTTGGTTTCCGTTGCTTCATGTTTATGATGGGGTTGACACGCTCTACCAGACCCACGGCCTTTGCCCTCTGGAGTTGTTCAGAGCGATGAATCCCTGTCACACAAACATCAGGCTGGGAGAATTTGAAGCTTGGTGGATTCGTACCGTGGCTGCCGAGGGTCTCACGCATCGAGCTTCCCTGTCTGTCCTGTTGGGGAAGGACGGCGACTGTTCTGAGCTAGAGGAGTGGTCTTGTTGGGGGTTGGCCTGCGGGAGGGGCTGATGCAGGAGGAAGGTGACGGAAGGGTCTTTGCTTGATGGTCCAGCCCGCCGGGGGCTCTGAATGACTTGGGCTCGCTGGGAATGCAAGGTGTGACTGGAGGATCTGACGGAGACGGAGCGTGAGCTGGGCTGATTTGCTGAATCTCTTGGTTAAGGGTTCCTGGGGCAGAAGCTGGCCAAGTTCAAAAGGTTTGACAGCGAAAGGGTGATTTTATTTATTTTTTATTTAAAAAAATTATTATTGACGTATAGTTGATTTACAATGTTGATTTAGTTTCAGGTGTACAGCAAAGTGAATCAGTTATACATATACATGTATCCCCTCTTTTTTAGATTTTGTTCCCTGAGAGGTCATTACAGAGTACTGAGCAGAGCTCCCTGCGCTGTACAGCAGGTCCTTATTAGTTATCTATTTTGTATATAGTAGTGTGTGTCAATCCCAATCTCCCAATTTATCCCTCCCGTCTCCTGATAACCATAAGTTTGTTTTCTACATCTGTGACTCTATTTCTGTTTTATAGCTAAGTTCATTGGGAAAGGGTGATTTTTTTTTTAACATCCTTATTGGAGTATAATTGCTTTACAGTGGTGTGTTAGTTTCTGCTGTATAACAAAGTGAATCAGCTATACATATACATATATCCCCATATCTCTTCCCTCTTGCGTCTCCCTCCCACCCTCCCTATCCCACCCCTCTAGGTGGTCACAAAGCACCGAGCTGACCTCCCTGTGCTATGCAGCTGCTTCCCACTAGCTACCTATTTTACATTTGGTAGTGTATATATGTCCATGCCACTTTCTCACCTCATCCCAACTTCCCCTTCCCCCTCCCTGTGTCCTCAAGTCCATTCTCTACGTCTGCGTCTTTATTCCTGTCCTGCCCCTAGGTTCTTCAGAACCTTTTTTTTTTTTTTTAGATTCCATATATATGTGTTAGCATACGGTATTTGTTTTTCTCTTTCTGACTTACTTCACTCTGTATGACAGACTCTACGTCCATCCACCTCACTACAAATAACTCAGTTTCGTTTCTTTTTATGGCTGAGTAATATTCCACTGTACCCATGTGCCACATCTTCTTTATCCATTCATCTGTCGATGGACACTTAGGTTGCTTCCATGTCCTGGCTGTTGTAAATAGAGCTGCAATGAACATTGTGGTACATGACACTTTTTGAATTATGGTTTTCTCAGGGTATACGCCCAGTAGTGGAATTGCTGGGTCACAAGATAATTCTATTTTTAGTTTTTTAAGGAACCTCCATGCTGTTCTCCATAGTGGCTGTATCAATTCACATTCCCACCAACAGTGCAAAAGGGTTCCCTTTTCTCCACACCCTCTCCAGCATTTGTTGTTTGTAGATTTGGAAAGGGTGATTTTAAAGAGAAAGATACTTGTTGGCAGAAAGTAAAATAGAAAGAGAGTGCATAGCCCTTGGTGGACCCAAGTCTGAACCTTACCAGGTTCTCCCCGGTCAGACATTCAGCCCAAGTGGCCCAGTGCCTGGTTCTGCTAAAGATGGATCTTCCTGTGCCATGGGTTCCAGTAAGCGACTCTGTTCCCACCCCCCCACCAACCCCCCGGCCCCATCAGGGTCAAGGACATGCAGGTGCTGTCGTTGTGACACAGCCATGCAGACCAGAAACAGTCCCACCGTGCTGCTCCTAATTCCCTTAATTCTGGGGGGAAAGCGCTAGCTTCTCTCTTTTCTACAGAACAAAAATAGTTTGTGGACTTCTCTCAAGCGTTCTGCTTTTGCTTTGAGCCAGTACATTTTTCAACAAAATCTGCCTCAAACCTGGTCATGTATTTCCCTGTATCTGAAGCTAGAGGATCTTCCCTACCCCTCAAATGCCTGACATCCTGTGCTTCCCAGAGACTTAGTTCCAAATACTTTTTATTTTGCTTCAGCTTTGAATTAAAAAAAATATCCAAGCTTAATTTTGATGTAAATATTTATTTCGCCATAGGTTTCAGAAGGTTTTATACCACACGCCTGAAACAACATGTTCAGTTTTTTAGGAATCTGTTTTGCAAACTGAATGTGACTCAGCAGTAGGTATCAGCCTGGAGAGTTATTTGTCTTCCTTAATAGTCGAGATCTGTCACCTTGCTTTTGTGTTTTGGATGACTGCCTGACTCAGAGATGGACAGTTGCCTGAAACCTTCTGGGAACAAGGTGAAGATAGAAATAAAGAAAAGTTTCATCTTCTGGGTGAATGACGAGAGAGACTCAAATATACTAGAGAATCAAAGTTTTACTCCTTTTAAATGCCTGAAGATTTATTTCTGGAGCTATGGTTTACTTACTTATTTACTCTCAGTAAACTTTCAGGAGTTCAGGGGAAAATGTGTGTGTGTGTGTGTGTGTGTGTGTGTGGCCCAGGTGGGGCTGGGATCCAGGCGGGGGGTTGGGAGGCCCAAGCCCCACTTCTTGAACCTATGGGGAAATTACTATTTACATCAAACTTAAGCTTGGACATTTTTTTTCAATTCAAAGCTGAAGCAAAGTAAAAAGCATTTGGAACAAAGTTTCTGGGAAGCACAGGGATGGGGGACAACAAGGGTGTCCGGGGCCCAGAGAGAGAGAGAGAAACAGACAGACAGAAAGAAAGAAACAGAGAGAGAAAATGAGAATAAAGCAAAATGTTAAAAATTGGGGAACCGAGGTAAGACTCATACTCGTGTTGTTATACTATTCCTGCAACCTTTTAGTCTGCTGGAATTGTTCAGAATTAAACTAAAAGGTGAAGTAAACACCTACACACCCTTAGGCTCCATGTGCCACCCTTGAGCAGGAGGCAGACCCAGGGTCACAGGCAGGTACTGTCACCGGGGCCTTAGCGAGGACCAAGGGGGATACTGCTCGGGTGCCCTCCCCCTCCCCTTCCCTCCCCCTCCCCCTCCCCCTCCCCCCTCCCCCTGCCACTGGCGCCCCTGGCTTAGGCTGGGCCATCAGCAGTTTCCACCTTACTGCATTATTTTTCTTCAATTCTTCACACATTTTTCGGGTCATTTTCTTATGCCTGGCCCTGCTTCGCCTCCTATTCTTCTGTGCGTTTACACTGAGTACTGGGAAACACGGTTATCTGACAAAGGAAAACATAAAGCCAGAATTGTAACTCAAATGCTTGGAACGAGCTACCTTTAAAACTTCTTTCTTCCAGTAAGAAGGTCACCTCAGATTCAAGCAGAAATGTCAAATTGCCTGTCATTTAAAGACACGTTTAAAGAAAATAGGGCAGGAAAATAGCATTTTGCTTGCAAACTTCTGCAAAACGAACTTTTCCCCCTGGACCTGCAAAGACCGACCATCTCCCTCACTATGGCAGTTCTGGGTACGGCCCGCTGCTGAGGTTTCAGTTGTTGAAAACGATCACTGCTATGTGCTTGTGGTTTAATCCTCTGAAGCCACTTCCTGGAGAGGTCGCAGTAAAGCAGCTATTGTGCCAAAGTTCACAGAGAAGAACGGAGAAAACCGCCTCGGCCGGGATCTGGCGCGGGGGGGCGGTTGGGAAGCCCAGGCGGGGCTGGGGGTTCAGGTGGGACTTGGGGGTCCAGACTGGGGTGTTGGGAAGCCCAAGCGGGGCTGGGGGTCCAGGTGAGACTTGTGGGTGGGGGTCCAGGACGCAGCTCTGTCTTCTGATGGTTCCCCATTGATGGGGAGGGGGGTTTCTAGAGTGCAAGGGTTACTTCCTCTGTCTGCCAACCCTGCCCTGGCCAGTTAAGAGCCATCTGGTGTTACTAGGAGACATTCAGAACTGCATCTGTGCCAGGAACAGGGAAAATGTCAGACTCCTTCAAGGATATGGGGAGGAGGTACAGGTAAGGATGTTTTTTCTGGATTCACTCATCACTTCCAACTCCCTGGTAGACTTTCAATCGTACACATTCCCTGGTAACTTCTGGAACTGGGCACTGTGTAGTCCACAAAGGCTGTGAATAAGACCCAGCCTCTGTCCTCAAGGCCGTCCCCACCCGTGGGATCCAGACAAGTCACAGGTGTGCTGGATGGCCTGATGGCTCCCACTTCATTCCCCTCCTGGTGTAACTTTGCAGCTCCTCCCACTACAGGTGGGGGTATTTCCTGGTCCCACAAATGCAGTTTGGCCACATGTCTTGCTTTGGCCAACGGAATGTGGGCCAGAAAGAGTGAGCTAGTTCTGAGCGAGTGCTTTCGCCCACATCGTTTGAGTTTTGCCATCACATGAGAAGATCATCTCCCAGGAAGTCACTGGTCCAAGGAGGGTGAGACACCCATGGAGCTGACTTGGGTCCTACCTGAAGCTTGGAGCCGAGACTAACCCAGCGTAATCTAGGTCAGCCAAGCTCCCTCTGACACACAGACCTGCGAGCAACAACAAACGGCTGGTGTCGTATGGCATTCAGTTCGGGGCTGGCTCGTTAGCAGTATTGTTGTGGCAGCAGCTAGCGATACAACAGGCGACTGCGATAAAGCGTGGGAGGGACCACGGGGAGATGCCGAGGGACCACGGGGAGATGCCGAGGGACCACGGGGAGATGCAGAGGGACCACGGGGAGATGCAGAGGCATCTGATACTCCAGCCTTGGGGAGGGTGGTAGGGAGGAATGCTTCGTGAGCTTGTATAAATTATTCACTTTTTGGCCCTCATTCTGCTTTTCCCTCGGGGATGCTCTAGCTCAGAGGGGCTGCTGAATCCCTCAGCGCGTGTCAGAATTGTATGTGAAATAAGTTAACCCATAAAGACTCTAGGAAGAGTTCTCTGACCAGTAAAATGTAAGGAACTTTCAACTTCTGGGGATGCATCCACTCATCCCTTCACTCAACGAGTAGGAGTTAGGAAACAGCGGTGAATAAAATAAAGCAGGGTCCCGAGCACGTGGAGCTTACATGCTGGAGAGAAGAGACATAGTTAGGATAAACGCCATCGACAGCAACAGAGCAGGAAAGGAAGTAGAGCACGGGGCAGAAGGTGGTGCTACTTTACGGGAAGGTCAGGGAAGACCTCACCAAGGGTGATGCCTGAGCCCAGACCCTAGCAGTGGCCTTAGGTGACGAAAGAGCCTATCAGGCCAAGGGGTAGGGAGTGCTAAGGCACGCTTCAGGAGAGAGAAACACTTGAGAGACAGACTCCTATTCCAGTGAAAGTTGCTGTAGAGGAATAAATTCAAATATTTGAGTTTTCTTGTTAAAAAATCCAGGCAAAAGGGTTTTGGTCACCAGGGGACACCTCCAGAACCCATCCCAGGGACCGTCCTCAAGGGGTTCTCTGTTTGGGCGTCAGTGGTTCTTGGTGACCCCTCTTCTGTGTCTTCCTCTAGGCTGCGGGGTGCTGGGCCTGCGGTCTCCACTTCCTGTGTCCTCCAGAAGTTCCCGGGAGTGATGTTCACCTGGTCCATATGGTTGCTGTGTGTCTCTCTCTTCACCATCCGGCCTGAGGAACACATGGGTAAGAAGTGACTCAGCTGGAGGGGACGTGCCTGCAGCTTCTCTGGGGAAAGGAGTTGCTTCTCTAGGGAGGTTCTGTTGTCCTCAAAAAGCAAGGTGTTGGTAGGTGATGGAGTCTTCCTCTTGCCCGTCTCCTCTGGTTCACGAGCTTGCCCTGGGCATCGGTCATTCCTGCCAAAGGAGCAAACCGAAGAGACCCTGCTTTTGCCCTTGACAAAAGGTGCCTTTGGATTTTAACCGTACGACCTGCTGCAAGGAAGCTGAACTCAATCAGGATCGACTTTGAATGACAAGGCAAAAATAAGGCCAAAATTTTTTTTGTCATCGTGTGAACCTGACTTAACTTTTCCCACAAAATGTCGATGGGACTTGATAGTAGCCCTAACCTTGTTATTTGGGGGTTTTGAGATCTCTGTGAGAGGAGGGGTTCATGGGGCCCCCACGTTGTCCGGGGCACGTGGCTTCCTCGGATGGACCCAAAGCCTGACTGTGGGTTCTTTGTCATTCAGTGGCTGCAGGAAGCTGCCAGTTTCATGGCAGGCATCCCAAAACCAGGTTCAAGGTAGAAGGGGAGCCTGTGGCCATGAGGTGCCCCCAGGGGCCATACTGGGACTCTGCTACCACCCACGTCAGTGTGACATGGCGTAGAAACAACTCCTCCACGATGGTCCCGGGGGAGGAAGAGCTGCGAGTGTGGGTCCAGGACGGCAGCCTGTGGATTGTACCAGCCTCGCGGGGGGACTCTGGCACCTACATCTGCACTGTCAGGTCAGCCCCTCTGGGATGAGGGTGGGAAGGGGGGCCCTTGCGGAATGGATGCTTGCATGGCGTTTCCGTGACCACCTGGATTTCAAAACCCGGCGCACAGGTGGGAACCCACCTTACGTCCGCTTCACTGTCACTGAAATACCTCCTACCTGAGAGCCTGTCCACAGATGTCCTCATGGCGCCCTCTCTCCCTTCACTTGAAGTCTCTGCTCAGGTGTCCCCTCTATGGAGAGGACGTCCCTGGCCACTTTATCTAAAGCAGGACTCCTGTCACTCTCCCCTTACCCTGTGCTTATGTTTCCTCATCTGTCACACACATATGTGTTTTATGTACTTAAGGTTTGTCTACCCTGTTAGAACGTAAACTCCAGAGGACAGGGACTTGGTTTCTTTTGTTCACTGCTGAATCCACAAGGACCCAAGAAATAGATGTAGAATGCTGAGTAGAACAGGGGACCCAGGTGAGACTTTAGGAAGAAGTTAATCCAACTGGTTATTGCACACCTGGGGGAACCAAGCTCGCTCACAAAGTTCTCCCAGGTCGTGGGTGTGGAGGTGAGGCTGGAACCCACAGCTCCTGACCTGGGGCGTAGTCCCCTTCCTCATTGCCCTGTTGCTTTTTTTCCCCTTTAATTGTGGTAACATAAGCATAACGTAAAATTTACCATTTTAACCCTTTTTAAGTGTACCATTCAGTTGTGTGAAGTACATCCACATGGTTTGCTCCAGAACTCTTTTCATCTTCCCAAGCTGAAACTCTGTCCCCACTGAACAGCTCTTCAGTTTCCCCTCCCCATCAGCTCCTGGCAACCCCCATTCTACCTTTATTCTGTCTCGATGAATTTGACTATTCCAAGTACCTCATATTCCAAGCACCACAGTATTTGTCCTTTTGTAACTGGCTTATTTCACTCAGCACAATGTCTTCAAGGTTCATCCATGTTGCAGCAGGTGTCAAAATGTCCTTCCTTTTTAAGGCTGAAGAATATTCCGTTATATGTACAGTTGACCCTTGAACAACACGGGGGTGAGGGGCCCCGACCCCTAAAGTCAATAGTCTGCGTATAACTTACAGTCACAGCCTTCAGTGTCCATGGCGCCTCAGGACCCTCAGTTTTGTGTCCGTGGATCCACCCAACACGGATTGTGTGATGCTGTAGTATTTGCTATTGAAAGAAATGTGTGTGCAAGGGGACCCACACAGTTCAAACCTGTGTTGTTCCAGGGTCAACTGTACATACCATATTTTGTTTATCCATTTATCCATCAAGGGACTGCTTCTGCCTTTCGGCTTAGGCTGCTTAGGCTGCTTCTGCCTTTCGGTTGTTGTGAATAATGCTGTTTGTACATGGCTGTACAAAAATGAGTCCCCGATTTCAATTCTTTTGAGTATCTACCCAGAAATGGAATGGGTGGATCGTATGGTAATTCTGTATTTAATTTTGAGGAACTTGTATTGTTTTCCACAGTGGCCAGACCATTTTACATTCCCTCCAGCAAGGTACAGGGTTCCAATTTCTCAACATCCTTACCAACACTTATTATTTTCTGTTCTTTAATAGCCATTCTGATGGGGGTGAAGTGGTATATCACCGTGATTTTTTTTTAACATCTTTATTGGAGTATAATTGCTTTACAATGTTGTGTTAGCTTCTGCTGTCTAACAAAGTGAATCAGCTATATGTATACATATATCCCCACATCCCCTTCCTCTAGGTGGTCGCAAAGCACCGAGCTGATCTCCCTGTGCTACGCGGCTGCTTCCCACTAGCTAGCTATTTTACATTTGGTAGTATCCCTGTGATTTTGATTTGCATTTCCCTAATGATTAGTGACCTTGAGCATCTTTCCATGTGCTTTACTGGCCATCTGTGTATCTTCTTTGGAGAAATGTGTATTCAAGTCGTTTGCCCACTTTAAAATCAAGTTGTAGGAATTCCTTATGTATTCTGGATATCAATGCCTTACCAGGTATATGACGTGCAAATATTTTCTTGCATTCCATGGGTTGCCTTTTCACGCTGCTGATAATGTCCTTTGATGGACAAAAGTTTTAAATTTTGATGAAGTTCAATTTATCTAATTTTTCTTTGGTTGCCTGTGCTTTTCATGTCATAGCCAAGAAATCATGTCTAATGCCATGAAGCTTTCCCTCTGTGTTTTCTTCTAAACATTTTTATAGTTTTGGCTCTTATGTTTTGGTCTTTGATCCATTTTGAGTTAAATTTTGTATATGGGTAAGTTCATGGGCCAACTTCATTCTTTTGCATGTGGCTAACCAGTTTTCCTAAGATCTTTTATTGAAAAGACTGTCCTTTCCCCATTGAATGGTCTAGGCATACCTTGATGCTTCTTGAAGGAGAAAGTTGCAGGCCTAGTGTTGGCAGCCTTAAACATTTCCTAAGTTAGTTCTTTTTTTTTTTTTTTTTTGTGGTATGCGGGCCTCTCACTGCTGTGGCCTCTCCCGTTGCGGAGCACAGGCTCCGGAGGCGCAGGCTCAGCGGCCATGGCTCACGGGCCCAGCCGCTCCGCGGCATGTGGGATCTTCCCAGACCGGGGCACAAACCCGTGTCCCCTGCCTTGGCAGGTGGACTCTCAACCACTGCTCCACCAGGGAAGCCCGAATTCGTTCTTCTGAAAGGATTAGGGCAGACCATTGGCGTGACTGGGAAATACTCTTCTTGGCCTTGTTTCTTCAGCTGCTGCCTCTCTTCTACCCCAAGGCTCTAATTATCCTCACCAGCCAGCTTCAGAGTCTCCCCAGATTTCATAAATTCATTTGACTTAAGGAGAAACTGTGCCCATGAGTATTTACATTTAGAAAGACAGCCAAAGAAAGGACATTCTCAGCACAAAGAAATTACTGGTGAATGGGAGAATTTCAGACAATATCAACCCCAGTCCTAGATGGGGTGTGTGTGTGTGTGTGTGTGTGTGTGTGTGTGTGTGCGTGTTTTCAGTCCTGTCAATGGAAGCAGGCAGACAATCTCATATTTTCATATCAGAGAAATGTGGGTATCTGATTTTTTAAAAAAATATATTTTATTAAATTTGATTTCATCTGTATTTTTCACTTATTATTTTTTATTATTAAAACAATTAATCAATATATTTATTTTTAGTTTTGGCTGTGTTGGGCCTTTGTTGCTGTGCAGTGAGCAGGGGCTACTCTTCGTTGTGGTGCACGGGCTTCTCATTGCAGTGGCTTCTCTTGTTGCAGAGCCCAAGCTCTAGGCACACGGGCTTCAGTAGTTGTGGCACGTGGGCTCAGTAGTTGCGGCTCGTGAGCTCTAGAGCGCAGGCTCCATAGTTGTGGCGCATGGGCTTAGTTGCTCCACCACACGTGGGATCTTCCCAGACCAGGGCTTGAACCTGTGTCCCCTGCATTGGCAGGCGGACTTTTGACCACTGTGCCACCAGGGAAGTCCCTGGATGTCTGATTTTACAATAGCTATAAATGCATCATTTTTCTTTCTTTTTAGTGTCAAAAATTCTAACGTTTTTCTAAGGAACACTATGAGGAAAACTTAATAGCATGGTAGAAATAGGATGGAATTTGGAGTCAGAATGATAAGGATGTGAATCTTAGCCCTCATTTGCTACCTGGTAGGACCTTGGTCTTATTATTTGATATTCATGGGCCTCAGTTTTCTCCTTTGTAAAGAGGTTTGTTGGGAGGGTTCTGTGAAATCACAGCATATGAAGCATAGAGTATGGGGAGCACCATTGTAGGTGTCAATATGCACATGGAAATGGCCTTTCTTTCCCCAAATGCAAGACTTATTTACTACTGAAGTGATAACATGCAAAAATGAGGGAGATGTGAGCTGAGTCATATTTGCCTTAAAGTTTGTTTTTATACGTGATTAAAAAATTTGTGCTTAATACCTTATTTTGTTTTGTATTCTTGTAGAAAAAAGAGGTCAGAGATTGAGAGGCCAGGGAAACCCGATGTGGGTTAATCTTTTGCAGCTCGTGGGAGAGTTCCCCTGGCTGACCTCTAAAACTCTCTTCCAGCTTCAGGATTGGGGTCTAATAGAGCAAGAATGACCAGCAGCTGCTATAATGCCCTTTGGCATTTACAGTCACAGGGCATAAAATGGCCCTGCTCCTGTGCTGTTTATAATTTTGTGACCTGGAACCCACATAGCTGTTCTGTCCATCAGGGTGGGCAAGGTGATGCTGCTGGGCTACGCAGCCCCCAAGTCTCAGTGCCAGGACCTGTAACCCCACCGTCTGCTCTGGATGGGGGACAGGACATATCTGGTGGATGGCACAAGTGACAACCACCTCTTTGCTGTGGGGCTGCCACACTACATGGGGAATATGAGTGGTGATCGATCAAATGATTTCCCCACCCATCTTTCTTTTGAGTTATTTCCACGGGGTGTCTGTTGCCCAAGGTGGATGACCAGATCAGTAATGCGAACAGGTTTGTAACTCTCAATATGTCTCGTAAGCTTGGTGTCTGGATGTAATGCCCTGATTTACAGGTTTTCCCACAGCCCTACTGGCTTCTAACCTTGGTTTGACCTCTTAGAGGCTCTATAGCCTTAGGAATTTACTTACATTCTGCACACCTAATTTTCCTCATCTAAAAGTGATATAGTAGTGTCACAGGGTTGGAGAATAAATGAAATGATGTATTGCAGAGCACAGAGCCTGGCATGCTCTCCTCCCCAGGAGCTGCTGGGAGGACTATTTTCAGGTGTGCTCTGTTCTTCAGACTTGCCCTCATTAGCATTTCTTCGATTTGCAGTGAGATTATGCATTCTTCAAGGTGATAGCTGTCTGCATTTCTTCATGCATAAAATGTTTTTCGTCTTTTTCCTTTCTTCAACCAGATATGAAGTAGAAATTTGAATTAATTTCTTTTTGCTTTCAGGTAGTAAGCATTTATCCCTTACTACCTTCACATATAATTTTCACATTTTGCTCCTTCTTTGGGTATAGAATTTTTTTACATTTTGCTGTACCCCTCCCTCCCAACCCCATAAAACACACATGCTCATTGTGTTGACGTCCAGTGTTTCTTAGGTAGGTCACCAGCAGCTTAGCTGAGCTAATTATATCTTTATGTTTTTCTACTTCAAAAAATTGTTTGAATTAATATCCTCTGTCCTTCCCTCCACATTGTCTGTGTTTCTGTCAATGTTTTGCCTCTGTCCTTTCCCCAGTTCTAGGGTCTTGATAGAATGATGCTATTGCGATTATAGTTAGACCCACCAAAAAAATAAATAAAAACCAAACAAACAAATTTACCAAGTTAATTTCCCCTGTGCAGTATTGCAAAAATCATTTCTAGATCTTATACAAAGTGCTCAGCAGTTTTCTGAAATTTGACTTCAGTTGATAATGATTTCCAAGAGAAGTGAAGAGGACTTTCTTTATATGGAAACAGTGGCTCTTAGGAAACAATATCTCCATCTAGATAAGGTTGCCTGGACCAGGAATTTGGAGCATACTGGGGCTGTGATCAAGAACCTCCCCCGGAACCTGGAAGGGTTTAGGCCCCTTTGAAGAGGACTTGAGGGTTTTTTACTGGCCCTCAATGGTCTTGAAATCAGGCTTGTGGAGGGTCCTTTTTGGAAACATGCAGAATATATCACCATTTCTATATGACAATTATGTTTTTTTTTTTTTGTGCTCCAAAGATTCAAAAGGACAAGGGACAAAAGTATTGCAATACCAATGAGGAAAATACAGAATGCAGAATTTAATGAGATTGGGGAATTATTCTTAATTTCATTTAGTTTTATTTTCATTTTGCCTTGCCATTTATTATTCCTTTTTTTCCCTTTTAAATCAGGAATGCCTCTTACTGTGACGAAATGTCCATTGAGCTCAGGGTTTTTGAGAAGACAGAAGCTTCCCTGCCTCTCATCTTCTACCCACAAATTATAACCTTGTCAGCCTCTGGGTTATTAGTTTGTCCTGATCTGAGTGAATTCATCGGGAACAAAACTGACGTGAAGATTCGATGGTACAAGGTACATCTTTAAGAATTGCCGTTTAATGAAAAGGTGTTTGATGAGCCATAGGAAAGATATAAAATATTCATTTGAGGACAATATATTCACTTTTATATTTCTGTTTTTTTAACCCAGCGATTTTAAAAAGGGCCATGATTAATATGCTCTGTTAGCCTTGAAAGGGCTTAGGTAAGTGTCCTCAGAGGGTGATTTGGAAAGACAGAGTGGAAATGAATGCAGAATAAATAACAGCTGAAGAAAAGAGCTTTTCACTCTGTTGTTTGACTATAGAAATTTTTAGAAAGAACTATTTAACAACTTGATACACATATTGATAGAGTTTTTTTTGTTGTTGTTCTTTTTGTTTTGTTTTGTTTTTTTTTGCGGTACGCGGGCCTCTCACTGCCGTGGCCTCTCCCGTTGCGGAGCACAGGCTCCGGACGCGCAGGCTCAGCGGCCATGGCTCGCGGGCCCGGCCGCTCCGCGGCACGTGGGATCTTCCCGCACCGGGGCACGAACCCGCGTCCCCTGCATCGGCAGGCGGACTCCCAACCACTGCGCCACCAGGGAAGCCCTGATAGAGTTTTTTGAAAGCATATAAAAATCAGCCTTTGAGTTAAAGGAGTGAAATATAAACACGATTTCGTGTCCTGACTGGTTGAATAAATATCTACTATCATTGGCTCCCTTGTTTAGACCAGGTGTGGGCAAATGACAGCCAGGGCCCAAAATTGAGCTGCCACCCATTTTCGTATGTTCACCAGCTTACCTTTCACTTGTTTAAATGGTTAAAAAAAAGAATAATATTTCATGACCCGTGAAAATGATATAAAACCCAAATCTCCGTGTCTATAAGTAATGTTTTGCTGGGACACGCTCATTTATTTCTGTGTTTTCGTGGGGCAATGGCAGAGTTGAATAGTTGAACAGAGGCCACGTGGACCGTAGGCCTAAAATATTTACTTTCTGGCCCTTTACAGAAAAAGTTGCCGACTCCTGATATACACCATAGATTGATACTGAAAAGTACAGTTATTTGTTTAAAAATGGATAGAAACTAACCTTTTAATCAAAAAATAGGTTGACTAGTTGACTGGTATTCTAACTACAAGATAGCTCTAGGATGTCAGTTTAATATTGGGAACTTTTAAATGATTTTCGGAGAAAGTGAACAGCCAGCTCCTAGGAGTTCACCTGCCCCATTATGGAGCTCTTGGTTTTGTAAGAGCATAAAAAGGTCAAGTGAGGGGTTTTACCGTAGAGGAAAGAGCACAGGTTCTGGGGTTGAGCAGTCTGGATTGGAAACCCTGCTTCTTCACTGACCTTTTGCATAGCCTTGGTCAGTTATTTTACCTCCTAAACCTGTTCCCTCTGCAAGACGGCAGTTCGTCACTCCCACTGCCTGAGGTTGTTTTGAGATTACATGGAGCACAGTGTGGGAAGCACCTCGTGCAGTGCTTGACTTGTAAATGGTCCTCGATAAATTCGGGTGGACAAGGGTATCATGGTGGCGCTTAATAATGATATTTGTTCCCGTCCTAAGAATGCTAATCATTACTGAGCACGTTCTGTGTACAAGTCTGTTCTAAACTCCCTGACATGAACCCAGTGCAATAGGGGTTGTTAATATCTCCATTTTACAGATTAGGAAACAGAGACCGGAAATGTAAGGAATGTGCTGAAGGTCATGCAGCTGGTAGAGGGTGAAGCCAAACCTCTGACCCCAGAGGCCAGAACCCACACATCCCTGCCACACGGGGGAGACCTGGGGGCTCGTAGGCCCTGGAATAATTGTGCTGCCGGGCCCTGTTTGGCTTTTTTCATACTGATCACTCATGTTGGGAACAATGAAATCTCTTTCTTTAATTAAATACATTGTACAGTTAGACTCCATGAGCTATGTGGTTGATAAACTATTCCAGTTATGCCTGGGTTCTCATTCAGAAAAAGTCTCTGCAATGACTCAAGGTTATATATGACTATTGCAATCATCATTTTTTTAAAGGCACTTCTTTTTTAAAAAAATTAATTTATTTATTCATTTTTGGCTGTGTTGGGTCCTCATTGCTGTGCACGGGCTTTCTCTAGTTGCGGCGAGCAGGGGCTACTCTTCATTGCAGTGCGCGGGCTTCTCATTGTGGTGGCTTCTCTTGTTGTGGAGCATGGGAGCTAGGTGCGTGGGCCTCAGTACTTGTGGCACACGGGCCCAGCTGCTCCGTGGCATGTGGGATCTTCCCGGACCAGGGATCGAACCTGTGTGCCCTGCATTGGCAGGCGGACTCGCAATCACTGCACCATTAGGGAAGCCTCGCAATCATCATGGTTTTGAAAGAGATGTTCCTGAGAACATTTTGTGCTCATGAGGGTGTGTTCTCTGTTACTGGAGACTTCCCTCTTGAGGGTCTGCTCTGTAGAATGCACAGTACCTTTTGTCCATACAGGAAGTGTGGCCTCATGTCTCACATTTATTTTTTTATTATTATTTTTTAAAATAAATTTATTTGTTTTTGGCTACATTGGTTCTTTGTTGCTGTGCTCAGGCTTTCTCTAGTTGCGGCGAGCAGGGGCTACTCTTCGTTGCGGTGTGTGGGCTTCTCATTGTGGTGGCTTCTCTTGTTGCGGAGTGTGGGCTCTAGGCACGTGGGCTTCAGTAGTTGGGGCACGTGGGCTCAGTAGTTGTGGCTCATGGGCTCTAGAGCACAGGCTCAGTAGTTGTGGCGCACGGGCTTAGTTGCTCCACGGCATGTGCGATCTTCCCAGACCAGGACTCAAACCTGTGTCCCATGCACTGGCAGGCGGATTCCTAACCACTCTGCCACCAGGGAAGCCCCACATTTATTTTTGTCTTACAAATTTTCCTCTGTCTCTACTGACTCCTAAAATTGAGATGTTTAAAGTGATTACTGCAATATCAACTCTTCTGAGCCTTGTTCTCCGAGTTACCATGACTACGTCATAACACCCCTTTCTGGATGTTTCCCAAGCACTCTTTTCTGGATGTTTCCCATAGCACTCCTTTCTGGATGTTTCTATAGGCAGCTGTTATGCCATAAATATATTTATATTTTAATCGCCTACTTTGTCAAAGAAGATAGTTTCTTTTTTTCCCATTGTGCCAAAGCAAATGTGCTTTAAACATTCTGGTTAAACAAACCCAGCCATCCCGTGTTATATGCTAACAGACTCCCCCTCCTAAAAATACAGTTAAAAGCATGTCCCAAAGGACAATATTTGCAAAGTAAATATCAGAGTGGTTCTTGGATTGCAGATTCAAGAGTGACGGATAATACCAATGCTGTTCATAGTTTTTGAGATGTCAATTAAGATATAGCGTAACTTTGAAAAACATTTTCTCTTAAGGATTCTGTCCCTTTGGATCAAGACAACGAGAAATTTCTAAGTGTGAGGGGAACTCGCTTACTGGTAAACAATGTGTCTCTGGAGGACGTGGGCTATTATCAGTGTGCCATGACGTTTGCCCACAGAGGCAGGCAATACAACATCACCAGGAATATCAAACTCCGTGTTAAGAGTGAGTACTTGCTATCAAGGTACCTCTGCACCCTGGTTCAGCAACAAGCATGCAAGGAAAAAATTAGGGTTCCTGTAGAATTCTTTGAGTGTCTTTGGTATGAAAGGAAAACAGATACGGCAACTCTCTAAGCATCAGGCTTCTAAGCTGTGTAGGACACTTGGAAAGAGAGGAAGCAGGGTGTTTTTATGAGGAATGGTGAATCCCTGGGTAGTTGACGGGGTTCCGAGTCTGAGGCTAAAACATGTACCACTAGAGGGAGCCAAACAGTGGTTCTCTTGGAAGGTCTTTTTGCAAGGTCCCCTTGGAAGGCCTGCACCTCCAGGGCCAGCTATCAGGACACGGTTGCCGTAACTTTGTGTATAATTCTAGGTTACTAGGATTTTATTGGATTTTTCAGTGAGAAGGCTATGCGTTGGCATATGTGGTGAAAATTGCCCTTTTCTGGTCTTTCCCAAGCAGGTCTAGTTACCCTTGAAACCAGGATTTTAAATAGTGAGGGATCTCATTGGTTTAAATGAGTTCTACCTGAAAATAATGTTGTGAACAGTACTGATTAGCATGTCAAGTTTATCCACTGTTTCCTCCATGCCTCCTACATGTGGGACATCAAGCTTGGTGCAAAGGGCACACAAGTGAGGCAGTTCTAGCCCCTGCCCTGGAAACTATGGTGCTTTTCTTTGTTTTATACACTGAGTAACTACACAACTGGAGTCTTTTAAGGACGTTTCAGAGAGCATTGGAACTGTATTAAGGTTACATAATTGGTCTGTGAGAGGAAAGACTTTTTTCTCCCAGAGAATCCAGAGATTCAGTTTTACTACAGGGAAAATCGTGTCTCCCATGAATGGAAATCTCTAGATTATTTTCTTTTAACGTCTTGTGAAGATTCATTCACATCAACCCCTTGCTCCCGCACAGCGGGGACCCCTGAGAATCCCGTGACTTTGAAGGGGGCCCGAATTATCCTGTTCATGTGATACTGCACAGGAACACTAGGGGGCGCCAACCTACATATAATCCTGTGTCCGGACCACACTGTGTCTCAGCCGTTCTCAAAGGGTGGTCCTCGGCCAGCGGCAGTGGCATCACCTGGGTACTCATCAGACCTGGAAGATCTCAGGCCCCATCCCAGACCTACTGAATCAGAAGCGATTAGCAGCCTGTGTTTAACACTCCCACCAGCCCCGTGTCGGTGATGCTGATGCAGCCTGGAATTGGGACCCACGGATGCATTAACGTCTCGTCCTTGGGGCGTTCTTCTCCCCTCTCTGCTCCCAGCCTCTGTGCAGCAGCCCTGTGACCGTGAGGGGAGGGAAAAGCTCCCGGTCTTGGTGGAGAAGCGGGCTCCCCGGGCTCTCCTGGGATGCTGCATAATGCTTATTCCTGTTAGGGTTTCAAATGCTCTTTAGTGGAAGAGGTGGGGATGGAGCAGAGCTCTCTGTCCACCCCCATCAACTGTCCTTTCTGCTCCAGTTCAGATGCCCAGTTTCTTCCAGCTTCTGGGGGACCTGCCTCTCAGGGAGCTGGGTTCCAATTCCCACCCCCCGCCCCAAAGGGTCAATCACCTCAACTAAAAAGCCCTGGTGACCAAGCTGGGTTACTGAGTTTATCACTCAGTATGGGGTTAGCATCACGAACAGGTGGTTCTGGGGCCCCTGTGCCTTTTTTATTTCTTTGGAAGCGACTCCAGGGTTCTGTGGCAGGCGCATGGGATGGTAGCGAGGGAGTGGGGAGAGACACTTTGGGGCGAAGAGCCTCTGGAGTAAGACCTATCCTGTGGACATGGTGAACGCTCCTGTTAAGGATTCATTCAGGAAGCCGGGGAGCGGAATGGTTAATTGTTACCACAGAGCAGAGAACATCTGTTCGTGGAATGTGTGTTTAACTGTGGCTTCTTCCAGTCATCTCTCTTCTGGGAAAGGCATTGGCCAAAGAGGCTCAATTTCGTGGAGAGCCGGTTTCCTTTGCCAGAAAAAGCCAAGTCTCACAATGGCTGGCCCTGCTGTAAAAGATAATTCAGTTAATTAGGTAAACAATAGACCCTGACCCTCAGCTTGCAATGAAGGCTTTCCTAACTGAATCTCTTTTCCTCATATCTTTCTCAGAAAGAGAAGAGGAGACGATTCCCGTGATCATCTCCCCCCACCAGACCATCTCAGCTTCGCTGGGTAAGGACCGTGTAACCCACCTGGATGGCTGCAGTCCCAAAGCTGGGGCCCCAGGACCCCTGTGTCACCGACTGTGCCTGCCGTGGGGTTTGCAGGTCCCGCTACCCCAGCGGGAAATAGCAAATGAGAGGGAACGTTTCCCTTTACCAAATACTGTCAGTAATGGCATTATCTGAAAACATGTACACTTTGCTTCTTGAAAACCCTGCCTACAAAAATCTCAGTGCAAAACTCAGAACGTTCTAGTAGCTGTTGTTAACTGCATGAAAGGATTAAGGCATGATGCCCCAGAAAGTCAGCACCTGTAGTGTATTTAAAATAATTCACTTTACCAATACTTGGCCGACGCTCAGCGTTTCCCCAAGACTCCGACTCTGCCCCTGCTGGTTCCCCCAGAGACAGTTTCTTATCGCCAACATAGCTGGTCAGCGGGTCAAGGGAGTTAAGGAAAATGCATGACAGAGGTTTTCACCATTTTTCACCATCCTGGCCAGCACGCACTTTCTTACTGAGCACAGCTAAGTCTGATAAGATGCCATTCAGGGCTTCCCTGGTGGCGCAGTGGTTGAGAGTCCGCCTGCCGATGCAGGGGACACAGGTTCGTGCCCCGGTCTGGGAAGATCCCACATGCCGCGGAGCGGCTGGGCCCGTGAGCCATGGCTGCTGAGCCTGCGCGTCCGGAGCCTGTGCTCCGCAACGGGAGAGGCCACAGCAGGGAGAGGCCCGCGTATCACAAAAAAAAAAAAAAAAAAAAAAAGATGCCATTCAATGCCAACATCAACCCTGTGGGGAGGTCTTATTTCTCCGAATTTCCAGAAGGAAAAGCTGTCCAGGGGGTCACTGGCTTAGTATCTGTCAAAAAGCCATAGTCGGGTCTGGCTGGGATTCAGACGCAGGCCTGTGTGTCTGTGAGGCCTGTACCTTTTCTGTGTGTCTGTTTTTATATAGTGGTTTTGTAGGTCTTATGCTCATTTATTAAACCCTGGCTGCAGAGTCCTGTCTATCTACATATCATCTGTCTATCTATCTATCATCTATCTATTATCTATCTAACCACCCATCTATCCATCTATCATCTATTATCTATCTGTCATCTATCTATCTATCCATCGTCTATCTATTATCTATCTAACCACCCATCTATCCATCTATCTATCTATTATCTATCTGTTATCTCCCTCCCTCCCTCCCTCCCTCCCTTCCTCCCTCCCTCCCTCTTTTGTCTGGTGTTTGGGCTTACATTTTTAACTTTAATTGATGGTCATGGAGAAGGAGGGCTTTTGCACAGACGCCGGGATTGCTGCCTGACACCTGAGTTGCAGCTCCCAACAGCTGTCTTGGCTCTCAGAAGAGCCTCCTGGAAGCTTGGGGAAGTGGGGACCCAGGTTAGCGCTGACTAGCGCCCCAGCGCCCCTGCTCCTCTGTGCTCCCCAGCCCAGTGGAGCTGAGTCTCCAGCCCCGTTGCTTTGCATATGCACTGATGTGCCTGGCAGAGTCATATGAGGCCAGAACGAGTGGGCTGTTTTTGGCTGAGAAATCTTTAAGGTCATAAGGGATGTGAAGGAGGAAGAAAAGTGGGCTTTCTGAGCCTGACGTGGCCAGGTGCATTAAAGCACACACCCCGGGGAGGCACATTACCCACGAGGAATTTATTCCCCCTCCTCCCCTTTGGTGACTAAAAAGAACCCAACATAGTGATTGAGGCAGGGGACCTAGGACCATCATATCGCACAACTGTAGAAGGCACCATTCATGTAAAACACAGTGGCTTTTGAAAGGATTAATCCTAAATGAACATGACCGGGGATGGAGAGCTCCTAGGGGAAACAGGAGAGCAGAGACCAGCAGTGGGCAAAGAGACAGAATCCTCTGGATTCTGGATCTGGAGTTCTGGAGGCAAGAAGAATAAACTGTGGGAAAAGGCAGCTCTGGAACTCAGAATGCTCTGTAGGGGCCGAGTGGCCTTGGGGGAGCCATTTGCCTCCGGGTTTCCATCTGCCCTGAGGACGAGTGGAAAGAGCTGGAGACCCTTGGTAAATACTGATGCTCTAGGTGAATGGAATCGCTCGAGGGAACTAAGTTTCATTCTAAGAAGAGAATTGCTGAGGGTGTCTGAGAAGAGGGGGGAGATCCACCGCTCAGACCTGCTGATGTGACCCCGTCCCCTGGCTGGGTTCTGACATTTGATGTGCTGCGTCTTGCCGTCACAGGGTCGAGACTGACAATCCCGTGTAAGGTGTTTCTGGGAGCTGGCATACAGGCGACCACCTTGCTGTGGTGGACTGCCAACAACACACACGTAGAGGATGCCTACAAGGGGGGCCGCGTGACCGAGGGGCAGCGCCAGTAAGTGGGGGAAGATCTTCCTCGTCCCCTGGGCAGAGCTGTTGTGAACCCCCTGCAGACTCCACTTCCTTGTAGAGACAATGTCCTAGCCAACCCATCAATATGACACACACACCACATTACAAATATATATTTTTTCTTCTACTCCGTTGGATTTTTAGAATCTTAAACATTGGGTTTGCTAAGTATCACCACCTGTTCTTGAGAATCAAGCCTTCTCTCTAAATCTATGAGCTGCAGCCTACTACTTGACATTGGTGTTGCCTCTTCTAGCTGTTTAATTAGATCTTTCTTCCTTGAGCATTGCAGAGTCAAACATCCACAGCCCTTAAAACGACTCTGAAACTTAACCACGGGATCCGAGAGCCGCCTCTGCTTCCTTCCAGTCTTTAAGGAAGGTTACTCTGAAAGAAAGCGAGGATTCTGTCCTCATAAGCCTTCATCTCCGGGAAATATTTTCTCACTCTGAAAGTAGAACAATCAGGCCTTGTAGATGGAAACCATTTGCATGTGAGGAGGCAGACCCTTCAATGTTCCAAATTATAAAGTGTTTTTAAAATCACAGTTTCGGCACTCTGAAGTTGCCTGAACTTTTGCTGGCCCAATTTTTGTCTTTTTGGAAAGGCCTATCCAAAAAGGTCTTTCTGGATGCAATTTAGTGGATAGAAATTACGTGTAGTTAGTGCGACTGTTTGCTTGAAAATTCTCGTTGTGAAAAGCTTGGGCAGAACCCACATGCCGCATGTCAGCTTACTCGTACTACCTGTTTGCTTAAAGGAGCCTATTTTCCCCCCATAGATTAAAAAAAAAATAGTCCTAGTGGCTCCACACCCATGATATTTTTATTCATGCTAACAGATCGTAGTGAAGCATCTTCGGATTCCTGCAACATTGCACATGGCAGTGCTGTTGATTAGAGACCCCTCCGCGGCGGCCCGTCTGCAGCCCTCGGATCTGCACCTGAGTTTCTAGAGTGAGGGTTGGCAGTGAGCGGGGCTGAGAGTAGACACCGTGGAGGACGGGATTCTTGGAAACTCCCTGCCCTCCAATATGCAAATGATTTCTTGGTGATACGGTCCAATTTCCCAAAACTAGACATTTCTATTCCTATGACTGGTTCTTTGTTCATCAAGGGCCTTAAAAAGTGATTTCTCCCCCATTATCCAAACTCAACTGGCTTCTGCAAGCTCCTTGTTACAAGTAACCTATCCCAGTGACCAGCATCTTCAGGGTCCCTCTCACCTTCAGGAACAGGCTTAGAAATTCTCCCAAATACGTAACAAATATAATGGCAAGTGCCTCTAACTTGGTAAATCGTGACATCAACTCAAGCACAGTGGGGCCTTGAGAATGTGTAGGTGTCTATGTTGAAAAGACTTTATGTTTAACTAAGTGTCTTCTCACCTAGGGAATACTCGGAAAATAATGAGAATTACATTGAAGTGCCCCTGATTTTCGATCCAGTCGTAAGAGAGGATTTGCACACGGATTTTAAATGTGTTGTCCGTAATACAATGAGTTTCCAGATGCTTCGTACCACAGTCAAAGAAGGTATGGATTTTGGGGACATTAAAGGGAAAAACTATGTGTTGGGTGCTCTGTGGACGCTAAATAAAGCTCCTGACGCTCTGGGTGATTACTGAGGAGGGCCCGTGAGTCTCCCGTTAGCGGAGCACAGAAAGCAAATCTCTCATTTTTTATGACTTTTTTGGTAGGGTGGAGGCTGCCACCTCACGGGCTCCAGAGCGCAGGCTCGGAGATTGTACTCAAAGAAAAATTTAAAGAGGAAGCTGAGGGCTTCCCTGGTGGCGCAGTGAGAGTCTGCCTGCCGATGCAGGAGATGTGGGTTCGTGCCCCGGTCTGGGAAGATCCCACATGCTGTGGAGTGGCTGGGCCCGTGAGCCATGGCCGCTGAACCTGTGCGTCCGGAGCCTGTGCTCCGCAACGGGAGAGGCCACAACAGTGAGAGGTCCGCGTACCGCAAAAAAAACAAAAAAACAAAAAAACAAAGAGGAAGCTGATTTTTTTGGAAAAAAGATAAAATGGTTCTGCGATAGATTTTAAAAAAGCCCGTGTCCTCTAGTGGTTCTGCCTGGATCGGCAGGACCAGCTCTGCTTTCATGACCCCTCAAGGAGGGTCGGATGCTTTTTATCCCAAGGTTGAGAGATTTCATCCTCCAGGAGCTGGGAAGGTACGCAGGGCTCAGGCAGCTTCAGGGTTAAAGCCATCGGTGATCAGGAGATAAAGTATAAGGCTGTAGCCAAACCAACGCAGTGCTCACGGAAGGACATTTACAAAAAAAAGAAAAACCTGACTTACCATTTTGACAAATCGATTTCTTCTCAGTGTTTGAGCGCTGAGCAGGAAAGGGAGACGTGGGTGATGTGGTCTGTCGACAGCCCGAAGGATAAGAAGGGAAGAGACAAAGCGATCCCTACCGGGAGCCTTACCCTGCCTCCTGGGCAGTCTGCACAATCAATAAACACAAACCGCCCCACATATTCCGTGTTTGCAGGGGAGGCAGCTGCAGACGAGCTTCTAATTGGAAAGCTGAGAATTTGTGTAAGCCTCAGGGCAGGAACAACAGCACGGTATAACTTCTCTCCAACTGTGGTCCATGCATACCAGCATCCCTGACTGTGGTCCATGCATACCAGCATCCCTGACTGTGGTCCATGCATACCAGCATCCCTGACTGTGGTCCATGCATACCAGCATCCCTGACTTGAGCCGCTAGTTGAAAATGCAGATTCCTAGGCTCACCCCCAGATCTACCCAGTCAGATTCTCTGGGGTGAGGCCAAAGACTGCAATTTAGCAAGCTCCTTTCATGTTAAAGTTTGAGAACCGTTGCCCTAGGACACATGCAAAGGCTGACGTCCCAGATCATTTCCATGAGCGGGTTGGTGGTGGTACAAACTTGGAAGTGGAGGATTCCACAGAAAGTGGGATCTGCTGCTGGGCTTCAGAATCGTGACCCAAAGGAAGCCATGGTTTGTCTGCTCCTGATGCTGGGAACCTGCAAACCTTTCTAAGACGTGAGCCCTGACCCTGCCTGTCCTTCGCTGGGTCGGCCATGACTGATCACAGAGGGCACAGGTCAAAGCCTTTCACCAGGGCTGAGAGGTGCCCCCAAATGGCTGCTCCGAAAATTAAAGCTTCACTCGCTTCTAAGCCTTGAGGGATTTTAAGGTGGAAGAATCATCTGGAGAAATTGTCTGAGACTGTGTCGATTCCGGAACGCCTGCACAGACTAAGATAAACAGTAGCTTAAAAATGTAGAATTCTAGCCTCATCATCCATGCGCTTGTTAACTTTTTTAATTTAATTTTTATTATATATTATAGTTGATTTACAATGTTCTGTTAGTTTCAGGTGTACAGCAAAGTGAATCAGTTATACATATACATAGATCCGTTCTTTTTCAGATTCTTTTCCCATATAGGTTATTACAGAATATCGAGCAGACTTCCCTGTGCTATACAGTAGGTCCTTGTTGGTTACCTGTTTTATATATAGTAGTGTGTATATGTCAGTCCCAAACTCCTAACTTATCCCTCCTCCTCAACACTTGTTAGCTTTTTATCCATACTTCCTATATTTTCTAAAATAAATTAATCTTTTAATTTATCTTACTTTTGGCTGGGTTAGGTCTCTCTTGCTGCGCGCAGGCTTTCTCTAGTTGCAGTGAGCGGGGGCTAGTCTCCTTTGCGGTGCGTGGGCTTCTCATTGCGGTGGCTTCTCTTGTTGCGGAGCACGGGCTCTAGGCACGTGGGCTTCAGTAGTTGTGGCGTGCGGGCTCAGTAGTTGTGGCTCACGGGCTCCAGAGCGCAGGCTCAGTAGTTGTGGTGCATGGGTTTAGTTGCTCCACAGCATGTGGGATCTTCCCGGACCAGGGATCGAACCCGTGTCCCCTGTACTGGCAGGCGGATTCTTAACCACTGCGCCACCAGGGATTGCTTCTTATACTTTCATAACACAGAGATGCCACGAAGTAGAATATAAAATAGCTGGATCCAAGCGATAATCTTGACGCCTAAAGCCCCCTTTCTTCAAAGTTTTTCTTTTCCTTTGTTACTTTACTGACTCCTCATGACACCCATGCTCACGGAAAAGGGCAGATTATGTGCTGGCCACGTCACAGTCAGCTAGCAGAGACCTAGACAGGCATCTTATTGCACACAGCCCAACGGGTAGAACAAAATTAGACCATCGACACCTGCCCACCCCCCCAGCTCTGCGTTGCTTCTCTCCAATGGATATTTGTTCTACCTTGCTTGTTTGCTAACGCACAGATGTCATCCTCAAGTATCCTTGACCTTAGTGTAAGACATACTTTCTGAAAATCAGTACCTGTTTATTAGAAGTGACAAACACCACTTCCTTCTCTGTAAAGTGCGCGGCAATGTCCTATTTGGTGGTAGGAGCGTGTTCACCCCTCACATGTCTGTTCTTCCTACAGCTGCCACGTTCTCCTGGGAGATTACACTGGCCCCCCTTTCCCTCATCTTCTTGGTTTTGGGGGGAATATGGATGCACAGACGGTGTAAACGCAGAACTGGAAAAGCCTATGATTTGATGATGGAGTTAAAGACCAGCCATCAGATTCTCAATCCTATCCGAGTAAAATAAAGGAAATAAAATACTTCAAGTCAAACGATGTCCTTTCTTCTGCAAGCAGCCCTGGTTTTTGAGGGACGCTGTTCTTTTCCTCAGTTGTTTAACAGAGCTGCTGTGTTTATAGTGGGTTTGTAGTAAAAGACTAAAGTGGACATGTAAAGTTTATTCTGAAACTGAATCACAGGGGCCAATGTGCACATGGGTGGGCTTGAGGTGCTCTTTGAATAAGAGGTGAAAACACCTAAAGGAGTTTTGGAATTCATTCATCCATTTCACAGAAACGTGTTAGAAGTCTACTTTAGCTATGCTCTATGGCAGGTGTTATAGATACAAAGATAAAGACATGGTTTTCCTTTCGGGAAGGTGGAATTTCACGTTGAAACTGGAAAGGATGGTTTAGAAATACTAAAGAAGAGTCAGCAAGAATTGGTAAATGCTTTTTAAAAGGACGATCCAAAAAATAGTAATTCAAATAGATGGTCAGAAAAATACGTCAGAACATACTAGCAGACTGAGAAACGGATTCGCCTTCATAACGAAACTTCTGAAAATAAAGAGAATGGAAGAGGATTGAGATAATTGCATACACATTGAGAAAAAAGTAATCAGAGCCTCTTTTATGTAATATGCCAAAACTAAATTCCAGCTAAATTAATGAGTTAAATTAAAAAAATCAAATGGCAGGAAAATTGGCATGACTCACTCCTTCACCTATTCAAGTCTTTGTTCACATGTGACCTTCCCAGAGGCCCTTATGAGTCCCTTTCCAACCCTCTCTGTTCCCCCCAACTCTGCTTTGTGTCATTATAGCTCTTATCACCACCAGACCTTCCATTATATATTTGCTTGTTCATTTTCTGTTTTCCCCACCAGAATGGGAGCTCCTTGAGGGCAGAGATGTTATTTTGGTCACGGCCATATCCCCAGTACCTCAAGTCAAGCCTGTCATCCACTGGGCACTTAATAATTATTTGTAGAATAGACGAAAACAGGATGAATTCTCTTGTGTTCACTAGCAATAAAAGTATCACCAGAGTAAAGATGGACAGGGTTCATTATGTTACAATTTCTGCATAGAAAAATAAAATAATAAAAGCAACACATCAAAGAAATTGTGTCAAGCAAGGTCAAGGCATTAATAACTATAACAAAGTTATTCAAGGTTTTTTTTTTTTTTGCGGTACGCGGGCCTCTCACTGTTGTGGCCTCTCCTGTTACGGAGCACAGGCTCCGGACGCGCAGGCTCAGCGGCCGTGGCTCACGGGCCGATCTTCCCGGACCACGGCACAAACTCGCGTCCCCTCCATCGGCAGGTGGACTCTCCACCACTGCGCCACCAGGGAAGCCCTATTCAAGGTTTTAAGAAAGGCATCAGAACCAAACAGATGAAAGAACATGGGTAGGGAATTGGGAGAAGAAACACCAAGGGACCGTGGTTTCAGTAATAATCAGAGATATCAATTAAACAACATTGAGATACCTAAGCACACACGTACTATCCAGTGTTAAAAGGTGATACCAAGGTCATTACGAAACAGTCACCCTCACTCCCTATGATCCCACGTGTACACACACTGGGCGGTGACAGGCATATATGTGAAGCCGGTGGGGTGCTGGGACCAGCGGGCACCTTCTTAAAGAGCCGAGTGTGGCATCTCTTCCCGACTCTGTTGAGTGATGTCACGCTGCAGCTTAAAGTCAGCTGTTGTGGGAGTATTTACACCACCGAAATCGGCAAATGCCCAAGTCTCCCCTTTGCGGTACCCCACTACAAGGGTCATAGCGACGCCCAGCACTGCTACTCCTGGGGATTTAGGACCTGATTCAATAAAAGATGATGATTAGACACGTGAAAGAGTTCAGTGAAACTCATCCCCCTGGTGATGAGAAATTATGATCAGCTGTAAATGATAATGATCAAGGCTGTGAGACCAGGATATTTGTAATGTTAAGGAAAGCTTTTTATATACAAAACAACAATTGTTTTATACAATTGTTGGGCTGCACCCCACAGGCCTACAAGCCCTGTAATTGCCCAGCCTCGAGACCCAAGAAAGCCTGGAGACAGCGACAGAGATGTCAGTGGTTTGTTGGGCGGGGGATCTTACACATCAGAAGCAAAGGGTCCTGGAGCGACACCCACCACAGATGGCAGATGGCACACAGGACACAGCAACCGTCTTCCTTGCTCCGGGGAGAAAGGAGGCTACAAGTTATAGAGAGAATTGACGTTAGGGAGGCTCATCGGTTACCAGGGAAACCAGCCGCCGGGGCATGGCCCTCCAGCCCCTCAGGTTAAAGTTGTTTCCCTTTAATAAACTAGCAGGTGGAACTGTTCTGGCCTAAGGATTAGAACCATAGCTGGAGCAGAGGGCAAGCTTGTTGATGTCAGTCGGGTGTAGGTGAGGCAGGGGCTACACGAGCAGCGGTGGAGGCAGTGCCGGGTGGTGCCTCTGTGATCCTGGACATGTCCTTTCATCTTGTAGAAGGTCAGTCTTCTCATCTGAAAAATGGGGATAATAACAGGACTGATCCTGGAGTGCCAGCTCTTTAATAATCAAAAACCACAGGAGCGGGAATTCCCTGGCGGTCCAGTGGTTAGGACTCCGTGCTCTCACTGCCGTGGGCCCGTGTTCGATCCCTGGTTGGGGAACTAAGATCTTACAAGCTGCACGGCGCCCAACCCGAGAAAAAAATAGGAGGAATAGACAGAAATAAATATAGTGGTATTGTTTAGACCGAAGGTCAACAAACTAGTTTTCTGGCAAAATCCAGCCTGGCCTCTGTTTCTATAAATTGAGTTTTATCAGGACACAGCCAGGCCTGTCTGTTTACACACCGTCCACGGCTGCTCTGGCTCTCGGCAGGCAGAGCTGAGTAGTGGGGCCATGGCTGGAGTATTAACCCGGCCCTTTACAGAAAAGGTGTGCTGACAGCTGGTCTAGACAAGGAAATTATGGGCAGTTTTGACCCTTAATGTTTGTATTCCCTGTTATTATCTTCTCTCCTCTTTTTGCCTGTTTTCCAAGCAGATGAGGAGAGAAGGCAGTAAGAAGGGGCAGACAGAGGCCTTTTAGCATCAATCAGGAACTTTAATGGGAAGGAATGGAAAGCAATGTTGGAGATGGAGGACAGCTGGGGGCTTTGTAAATAGCTCCAGGTGCTTCTCCCTTGCTGGGTCTTCAGGCTTGGGTGTCGCGCGGCGCGGCGTGTTCACCGCGCGGCGTGTTCACCGCGCGGCGTGTTCACCGCGCGGCGTGTTCACCGCGCTTCTTTCCCGGGACACCTCCTCCAGGGCTCTTCGTTCCTCCTTCAGATTTGGGCGGCTTCATCCATGACCCAGAAAAGAAGTTGACTGCGGCCAGAAGAGCAGCCCCTGCCTCCAGACCCCACCTGGCTGCTGGCTTACGGATTTCCTCCCGGAGATTTGGAGCATGGGTCCCACCGTCAGAAAAAGTAGGAGACAGTCGGGGAATCTGGGGCGCTGATTTGTGATACTGTCGCAGAATAAGTGTGATACTGGGATGGTTACATTTTGAAAGAAGAGTCTTTATCTTTCTAAGAGACATATAGAGATACTGATGGACAGAGTTGAGATTTGCTTCACAGTATTCCAGTGCTGGGGGGAATGTGGGTGAAATAAGATCGGCCGTGTACTGATCATTGTTGCTAACACCGGTCATGGCGCGTGGGGCGTTCCTTACACCAGTCTCTCTATTTTTGAGTACGCTTAAAAATTTCCATGATATAAGGTAAAAACCAACACACAGAAACAACCCAAATACCCACTAGACAAGACAATGGGTACATAAATGTCCTAGCACAGTGGAAGCTTCTACGACAGTGAAAATGAATAAACTACAGCTACATAAAGGAATGTGGATGAATCTTAGAAATATATTATTGAGTAAATAGTAAGTCCCAGAAACAGTGATTTATAGCGTGATGCTCTTTTATATAAAGTGAAAGACAACTAAAACTAAACTCTCTAAACACACACACGTACATACATTAACATATACATATTTAAGAACACAGACGTGATAAAACCATATTTTAACTGTATGTGGATATATGTATCTGTAATTAGAGAGCACATATGTGATGTTAAGGGTTTAAAAGCACTTATATTTTAAGGAAGCAGGAGAATGAGAAACCGAAGTTTCAGTGAATGCATCAGGTGACAGGTGGGACCAGGGTTGAGAAGATTGAGGAAGATGTAAGTTTCCTCAGGTTCTGGATCTCATGTTGGGTGGCGGATTATTACCATTTTTATCAAACATTGAGAAACAGGACCACTTAAGAGTATGTATTGAACCAAGGATTCTGATAAATCTAATTCCGTGCCCCCAAGTCCAAATTAAACAACAAAAAGAAACAAGATGGTTCCTTTCTTTAATGTGGCTGATCTCATCCGTTTTATGTTGATTCTGTTGGTTTAACTCTCTGAAGGTGAATGTTTTCACCTCCTCCTACAAAATTGAGGGGTGGGGATGGGCAGTAAATAGCATCTTTGTTGCCCATAGGAAAAACAATCCCGATGTCATCATATACCACCTGCCCAAGAACTGACTGAGGATGACGTGGACACCAGGAACAGGTACCAAAAATAATTTATGCATGAAAAACTAAATTTGATGTCTCAAGTATTTCATACGCGATAGGAACAGATGGGTGCTTCTCGGAGAAGGTGGGCTTGTCTATCTACCGTGAGACCTTTCAGGGCAGGAGCATTCTTGCTCGTGACGCGTCCCCAGCGCCTATAGGTACCTAGGAAGCGCCTACTGAGGTGATGGATAAATTGTGTGTTACCTGGGTTTTGGGGGACTCGCCAGCCTGTGTGAACAAACGGGATGCCGTTAGTGGGACCTTTCAAGTTTCCCTTTCCTGCCCCTCCTCCCAGACTCTCACTGGTCATTTCCATGACTCCAGCCAGGAGCTCACTCGGACATGACACGGGCCTCGTGCTTTTGTGGTTGCTTTCCTGTTCTTGTCATCCCACCATCCCCATTGGCATCTGCCACCCATGCC